CTCCGGCTACAAGAGTTCAACATGACTGTGGTTTACAAGTCAGGACGCAAGCACAGCGACGCTGACTGCCTGTCCAGGGCCCGTTGAAACACCTCCCGGCAGCAGCGACGACGATGACGACGAGTGCTTCCTAGGGGCAGTGAACATCGATGACATGGCACGACGTCAACGAGACGATCCGGAGCTGCGCGCCTTAATGGAGCACCTGGAAGGGCGCGTGAGTACCGTGCCCCGTGTTTTCTCACGAGCCCTGCCAACCTTCGCCATTCGACAAGGTGTACTCTACAAAGAGAACTTCGGGGACAACAACTCGCCGTGGCTGCTGGTAATCCCGACCGACCTTCGAGAGGAGATCTTTCAAGCATGTCACGACGACCCGACGTCCGGACACCTTGGATACAGCAGGACATTGGCCCGTATTCGTGAAAAGTATTACTGGCCCAAGCTCCCCAAAACTGTCCACCACTACACCCGATCCTGCCACGAGTGTCAGCGACGCTAGACACCGCCGACGAACCCGGCAGGTCTCCTGCAGCCAATTCCTCCGCCAACTGCACCGTTCCAGCAGATCGGAATGGTTCTACTTGGTCCTTTTCCACCGTCGACCCTGGGAAACCGTTGGATAATCGTCGCCACAGATTATCTCACGCGGTACGCAGAAACAAAGCCCTTCCTTCGGGGACTGTGGTTGAAGTCGCCAAGTTTTTCCTCGATTTCATTGTCCTTCGGCACGGCGCTCTCGAAGTTCTGATTACAGATCGCGGATCGTCGTTCATGGCACAGCTGACCCAAGAAATTCTCCGGCTCAGTCACACCAGCCACCGTCGTACAACTGCGTACCACCCGCAGACCAACGGGCTGACGGAGCGACTCAACAAGACAATCGCCGACATGATCTCTATGTACGTCGACGTTGAGCACAAGACGTGGGACGAGGTGTTGCCCTACGTCACGTTCGCCTACAATACAGCGGTTCAAGAGACCACTGGATTCACACCTTTCCAGCTGGTACATGATCGGAAGGTAACGACCACGCTGGACGCAATGCTGCCCCATGAGCCATCTGACAATGAGAGCGACCACGCCCAGGCGGTTGCTCAACGCGCCGAAGAAGTCCACCAGCTCGCCCGACTCATGATTCAAGACCAACAACGCGTCGACGCGGGCCGCTACAACCTTCGTCGCAGGGACGTTCACTTCCAGCCCGGAGACAGGGTGTGGGTGTGGACGCCCATCCGTCGCCGCGGCCTCAGTGAGAAACTGCTGAAACGGTACTTTGGACCATACAAGGTACATCGTCGCCTCGGCGAGCTGAACTACGAGGTGATGCCCGACGGAACACGAACATCGTCACGCCGCCCACCACGACCTGAGGTCGTCCACGTCGTGCGACTGAAGCCGTATTACGCTCGATAGGACTGTGGACCTTATGTGTTCCAAATGACCCTTTAGTTTACCGTTCTGTTTTATTTGCTTCATTTTGTTTTGGGGTTGCATCGGGACGATGCACTTTTTAAAGGGGGGAGTAATGCTGCGCGCGCAGCTGGCCAAGTAGGCAGCGCGCGCGTGGCCTAACGGTTATCGCGCTTGCCTCCCACGCAGAAGGCCAGGGTTCGATTCCTGGCCGCGACTACACATTTTTGTTGACAGTGTAATTTGATGTTCTAGTGAATTCGAGTACCGTCTCGCTGATTCGAGGTTAGAATGTTCTACACACCGAACCTTCTACGCCGAACGATCCAGAAACCCACGAGGGTACATAAGGCATTCCGCAAGGCGAGCGGAGTCAGTTTCGCCCCAGCGTTCGACTCTGCTGTTACGCCGACTTCGACGCCTGCGACGCTCTCTTATTATCTTTTGTACCCTTTTATTTTTGGCACAAGTTCGCCACATTAAACGTTTATTTATTCCTGTTCATTTCTTGTTTATTGGTCACCACCCGTGACGATTTTTTTTCTTTTTCTTGGGTCCTTCAACTGCCCCCTCGCCTTATAATCGTGACCGCCTTATGTTCGAATAAATACGGTACTAATATAACAGATTGTATTTCCTTGGAAGATGACCTTTTTTGCATTGAGTCTTGGTGTCGGAAATGGCAAATGGAAATTAACGTTCACAAAACTAAGTTCATGGTATTCAGCACTAAACAAGTTCCCTCTATATTCAATTACACTTTATTTAACGCCTGTGTAGAAAAAGTTATGAATTATAAATACCTAGGAGTTTTTCTAACCAGTAGCCTTTCTTGGGAATATCATATCAATCATATAGCTGCTAAAGCTAACAAATCTCTTCGTCATACTTTATAGTATCTCACATCTGAAGAAACTAAACTTGTAGCTTATAACTAGGGCTCCGCGTTTTCGGAGTTTCTTTTTCGTCAAATTCGAAGGGTGTTTTTCGGAGTTTATTTTTTGCCGAAGATTTGGAGTTTATATTTTTTTAATTTCCAATTCTCCGAAATTCGGAGTTTAATTTCGCTGAGTTTTCTATTATAAATAAACAATAATTAATAACCGAATGTAAACGTATGCCAGATAAAAAAGAAAACGCGCTTGTATCAATTGAAGTATCTTGAGTTGAATTTGGCATTGGTGCCATTGCCATTGGCAATACTAATTTATCCACAACAAAAGTCACACACAAGTGGCGCTGCGATAAACGCCGATACCCTAAAATCAATGAACTCCCGGAGGTAGTCGCTAGGATGCTCGTAGTCATCCCATCCTATTCCATCAATCTAGCCCGCGCGAGGTGGAGTGGTTAAAGGCCGACGTACAAGCTCGGTTTTCTGCAGGTAAGATAATGCTCTTAGCGGTGTCCTCTCCTAAGCTGCAAGGGAGCCAAGTTGGGGCAAGGTAAAAACTGGAGAGGATATAGGAAAGGGGGGCAAGAGTGGAAAACGCGAATTCAACCTTTCAGGAGGTAATAGAGAGTGCCCTTCTCTTCCCAATTTTATACAATCCCTCTGGCTTTCACTGTTACTTAAGCATACCCTTTCCTTCCATCACAAATCGCATGGCCCAAACCAAAAGACTGGCTTTTGTCTTGACCCGAATGTACAGCGAACGACCTGAATCGACCTTGAAGAGACAAGCGGCAAGACCCCTTTGTATTTTTTTTTGACGGGGGAGTGTGGCATTGACACATAAATATTCCGAGTTTATTGGATAAATCCGAATTGACCAAAATTTTACCAGCGGGTGCTTTTCCGAGTTTTTCGGATTTATCCAAAAACACGGAGCCCTACTTATAACGCCCCATTTTAGAGTATGCTTGTGCCATTTGGAACCCCCACCAAGTCTTCCTTGAAAGAGAGTTAGAATCCATCCAAAATAAAGCTGCATGTTTCATCCTAAGGAATTATAACCACTCTGTAAGCGTTCCCTCTTTCAAGTCAATTCGCAACCTTCCTCCTCTAAGTGAACGTAGAGCTGTATGCCAACTAAAACTACTTCATAAACTTTTCTATCACTCTCCATCTCGTAAGTCTATTTATTGCATACCTGTCTCTTTCATTTCTCGCCGACTTGACCACTCCTGCAAACTTCACCTAGACATTCCAAGGACTAATATTTACTAGTTTTCACCCTTGCAGCTCGCCATTAAAAATTGGAACATGTTACCAGAAGCCGTTGTCACGATAACGGACCCTCAAAAATTTTTCGAAGCTGTTATCGGTTACCTGCACCTGTGATACGCCCATTCAATTCATTCTTTTTCTCTTGTGGCATTATTGTATTGTGTTTCTTGACAATGTCCGCCCCCTTTGTTATACCCCTCGTGGGTCTTAAGGGGAACTAATAAATGAAATGAAATGAAACTTGTTTATAGCATGCCTTCTCATTAAGCATTTCGTATGTACATATTTATTCACTCGCGTGCCTATCTCAGAGCACGGTATTTGTTTAGTGTTGTTTTGTTTTTGTCTCATGAAAGCGCACTGTCGGGTCGACAGTTTATGAAACTCCGGCATGTGACGAGCCGCAAAAGACGCCTCGTGCGAGCTCCGGTGCCGCGCATGCGAGCGCGAGCAAAGGAGATATAAAATAAAAAAGAAGAGAGAAGTTCTGCATGGAATCTCGGAGGTTGACGTGTCTTTCCGAGCCCACTTCTCTTAACGACCACAGCAAACCGTCACGTTCACCTTTGGGAAAGACTTAGCTACGGCATTCCTATCTACCAGAACGTTGCTCTCGAAAGCACGGCTTTGAGATGTATGTTTTACTGACGCTGAGAGGGTAGCCTGTGGGAGCACACTCATAGTAAAAAACAAAACCAGACAAGGAGCTATAAAGGACAAGAACAACACAAGAGCCAAACGGCTCTTTTTACACCGCTTCGACCCCATTGGCTAGCGCACGTCCACAGCCAACGGCACCTTTTACGTCGCTGCGATGCCGTTGGCTCGCCCGCGACGATCAAGCACCCGTTTGCGGGATGCGCAGCGCCACTGGGTGACCAGTCGTTGAAACTGACGCAGCAAAAGTCGAAAGCCTGTCTCGTCTGCTTGTCTTCAATGTCCCTCTTTCCTCATCAAAAAAAAAAAAAAAAATAGAAACCAACATGCACGATTCTTTACAGCAAGATTGGTGTACATGCTTTTGCCTTCGCAACTCATAAGAAGTGCTTAGGCGTACCTCGATAAAGTCGAAAGCCTGTCTTGTCTGTTTGCCTCCTGCTTTCGCCTTCTCAATTCATAAAAAGTGCTCAGGTGTACCTTGATTTTTTTGCTCCCAATTGGCGTACATGCGTTCGCCTTTGCAACTCATAACAAGTGCTTAGGTGCACCTTGATCTTTTTGCTCCCAATTGGTGTACATGCTTTTGCCTTCGCAACTGATAAGAAGTGCTGAGGTGTACCTCAATCTTGTTGTTCCCGAGAGCACGACTTTGAGAAGTGCGTTTTATTGACATCGAGAGGACGACACTCATAGTAAAAGAAAAACCTGAGACCAGGAGCTCAAAAGGACAAGAACAACGCTGTCTCAGGACACTCACGCTGAATCCTCCCCTGGGCCCTGTAGGCCTCCAGGTCCTCCTGGAAGACCTCGGAGAAGGCCTGCTGACGCTCCCTCAGCACCGCCCGTTCCCTCTCCTCCAGCTGGTGGACCATAAGCAGGTGATCATCCTCCAGTTTCTCTGCACAAGGCACAAAGAGGGTCTCGAACACCGTATTTATATGGCAGATAAAAGCTATTATTATTATTATTATTATTATTTTGGCCGCAACCTCCAAACCTCTGAAATGAACGAGGTAGCCATGCCGTGGCTGCTGAACAGACACAGTGTACACACTGTGTGTCTGCAGACCAGTGTGTCGAACCGAAAAAAATACGGGTTCGGTTACGGTTCAGGTAAATTTATTTTGTTCCGGTTCAGTTCCGGTTCGATTAATTCGATCCGCAAACCGGTTTGGGGTGCTGAACCGGTTCGCAAACCAGTTCGGAAATTATAAATGACAAATTGCAACATCAAAATAAATTACAAATAAAACATCTGAAATCAGCACATACGAAACGGGATACATCGTAGTGTAAGGCTCAGGGATTTCTACCAGGAATGGTTTCTTTATGTGCACTCAAAGGTTACCTCACCGACGTTTACGCATTCGGACTTCATCTGATTGGGTCCGACGCAGTAGCTGTAAAATCCGCGACCTCCTTACAAACCCACTTACAAGTAGAACTCGCTAACTATCCCGCCACCTCGGCGTGTAAGCAATTGAAGGAACAGTGGGGAGAAAATACAGCTTTCTTTATTTGAACTTGCCTTCGGTAACTCAAATTAGACCCTTAAAGAAGTTTTCATTAAACGAGATACGGAATATGAAAAACACTTTACCGAACGCAACGCCAGAAGGACGTAATAGGATAAATATTAAAATAGAAGAGTTCGCTGCCTCACAAATATGTTAGCTTCTAAGTGCCTATACGAAACCGGATGCATTATTATCAAACTCCCACAGCCTTTTCTTTTCTCATTCTGATGGAACCAAGCTTCAAGAACTCGCGCGTTCTGGAAACGTGTTATGAAATGAGCACACAGCAGCATTTAGGATTTACGAGATTGTAGGAAAATGAAATCCCGTGACGCGATTTTTTTTTTTTTTTTGCACAGTTTTTCAATTTTTTTTTTTTCCGTGCAAGCCGCGACCAGCGCAATACTGGTTCCTATGTCAAGATTCATGGATGCAGCGTTTGTCAAGATTCATGGATGCAGCGTTTATATTCCTAAGACTGAGTGTAGAAGAAAAATATGTAAGCGAGGTGGGTGTCAGTTGTAGCCACTTAAAAAACAAATGGCATTGATAGCACATTCATTGTCAACAGCGCGTGGCCGAACCGTTTTGAGATGAGCCGGTAACCGTTATTTTTTTTTTCCGGTTCAGTTCCGGTTCGGGTTCATCGCGATAACAATATAACGGTTTGGGTTCGGGTTCAGTTCCGGAAAAAATACCGGTTCGGTTCCGGTTTTCGGTTCGGTTCCGGTTCGACACCCTGCTGCAGACACTATCTCTGTCTGTGTCTGCAGACGAAGATTGTCGCGGAGTGGGGCAAAATCAAGGAAAAAAAACTTTGCTTCAAACTCTATTCTACGGCGACGGCGCAGAGAAACGATCGCACTCCAGATACTCAGGATGACAAACAACACGCGCTCAACTTACAACTCTCACGTGTTCGACTACTTCATTCTTCTCTTCAACATCTGGATTGACTTTCAAGAACGTGATAAACAGAAGGAAATCGCACAAAATACAAGAAATAGCACAAATTACAAGGAAATAGCACAAAATACAAGAAATAGCACAAAATACAAGGAAATAGCACAAAATACAAGGAAATAGCACAAAATACAAGGAAATAGCACAAAATATGAAAAATAGCACAAAATATAAGAAATAGCACCAAATACGAGGAAATAGCACAAAATACAATACAAGAAATAGCAAAAAATACAAGCCTAGCATTTCTGTTTTTCCGAACAGAAATGCTAGACTCTGACTGGCAAGAAACGATGGGTCTGTGCCCTGTGTGGAGTCGACCCAAGACCGCTGTGTGAAACGCGGAGGTAAAAACAAAAACCAAAACAAATTTAATTGGGGCAGTCGACAGCCACTCACGGTGACACAAACGCAAAAAAAAAAAAAAGCATATGTGCGCTTTAGCTCAAAATAAAGCTGCAAAGAACAAAAAAAAAAGCCAAGCCTCCAAAAATTAAGACGCGGCGAAACGACAGTCGGATCACTGCAAAAAATGCAGCCAAGTACCCAGTGCCAGCCAGACGCCCACTCACACTAACTGCGAGGTGTTTCCGTGCTATTTATGAAAAAAAAAGATATGTCACAGCCATGTTCTTGGCAGAAGGATTCAGCTATCAGCCAATGCCGTAGCTAATTTTCTTCCAGAAATGTGAAATTCTGAAGCAGGAGGTGTGGAGATTGCCGAGGTTTCGCTCCGCTGTTTTGCGCAGTCGTCGATTTCACACCTAAGCATGCACGTAGTAAAAAATTTTTCGACTTATTTTATGAAAGGTTTACGACACGTACGCGTAATCTTAAAAATTACAATAAAAAATTTCTATGCAAAAAAACGAGCTACGAAACACGTAAAATAACATCGTTTAGGAAACTATAAGATATTTATTTCACGACAAACTACGTTGTATAAAACAATGCAACATATATTAAAACAATCGTCTTTAAGGGAGGACACGGGGATCAACTCTCGAAAAATGTAAAAAACAAAGTTGATTTTTAGAAATTTGAATAGTACAGTTTCACCCCACATCATTCTAGGGAAGATGCGCAAGTGGCAATACAAATGAAACCAAGTGCCCAAGCGCCATTGGAATTGATAGTTTTACACCACATCATTCTATGAGGTTTGGACGAGCACCGAAGCGCTGTCGAAGCGCTATCCGAACTGATAGTTTCCATGAAAAAAACAGTGACTGCACAGGCGAGCTGAGGACGTTCTTTTCCCGTCTTTCTTCTTCGACCAAGTTTCTCGTTGAGACGTTTGTTTCCCCCGTCTTTCTTCTTCGACCAAGTTTTTCGTTGAGACGTTCCTTTCCCCTGTCTTTCTTCATCGACCAAGTTTCTCTGCTTTTACCTCAGTCTTGGGTTTTCTACATCATAATAGTTTCCCCCTCTTCTGAACTACACATCTTGGCTGTTCTAACTACACGTCAAGGTTGATCATGCAGCTGAAGTAAGAATCTGCGAGCGCCTTTGAACTTAACTCTTCTTATTTACATGTCTTGGTTGTTCTTAACTACACATCAAGGTTGACCATGCAGCTGAAGCAAGAGTCTGCGAGTGCTTTTGAACTCTTCGTAACTACACATCTTGGTTGTTCTTAACTACACATCAAGGTTGATCCAGAACAAAACATTCCGCCCTTCTCCTCGTATTCAGCAAATGCAAAAACTAAAAAAAATATTAATGTTGACTTCTTAGAAATATTATGCAAAGAAATTAAGGAGACCAATTAATGAATCGATTCAAGTGTAGCGATTCATCGGGTTAAAACTTTTAAGCGACGCCTAGCCCTAGTTTTTTTTTCACAATTTTTTTTACGACCCTTCATTTCTTTTTTTGCACGATTTGAGATGAAATCACCCTTTTAATTTGCATATCTCTGGACAGTGAAGCTACGAAGCGAAGCGCAAACTTGGGAGAGGTTACCTTGGAGGCTCTCGAAGTGTCCCTTACGCTTCTCGCCGTAGAGGGCCAGCTTGAAGCGCTCGTCCAGCTGGCGCTCCTGCAATGCCTGCGTCTCGATCACGTCCTCCAGGCTAACCAGGCGCAGCTCCACTTCCTCAAACATGCCCTCCAGCTCCCCTGCAGAACACCCTAAGCTAAGAATTGCAAAACACAAAGTCCCTCCCCACCGCCCAAGTTCCACGGGGGAACAATTCTGCAATTCTTATTGTCCCGACGAGGATCCTACAGGTGGAGTCGTCCCTCCAGCTCCCCTGCGTCATACCCTAACCTCAGAATTGCAAGACACCAAGTCCCTCCCTGAGGCCAATGCCCAAGTTCCACTAAGTTCCCCTAAGCTAAGAATTGCAAAACACAAAGTGCCTCACTACGGTCCATCACCCAAGTTCCACTAAGTTCCCCTAAGCTAAGAATCGCAAAACACAAAGTGCCTCACTACGGTCCATTGCCCAAGTTCCACTAAGTTCCCCTAAGCTAAGAATTGCAAAACACAAAGTTCCTCCCTCTGGCCATCGCCCAAGTTCAACGGGGGAACAATTCTGCAATTCTTATCGTCCCAACGAGGACCTTACACGTGGAGTCGTCCCTCCAGCTCCCCTGCGTCATACCCCAAGTCTGCTTAGGCGAGACCTCGAAATCCCATTAAGAACCTAATCACATCAAGTCTGCTCAAGCGAGACCTCGAAATCACATTAAGAATCTAATTACATCAAGTCTGCTCAGGCGAGACCTCGAAATAACATTAAGAATCTAATCACATCATGTCTGCTTAGGCAAGACCTCAAAATCACATTTTGAATGTAATCCCGTCACATGCTTGCCAAGTCTGCTTAGCGAGACGTCGAAATCCCATTAAGAATCTAATCACATCAAGTCTGCTCAGGCGAGACCTTGAAATCACACTAAGAATCTAATCACATCAAGTCTGCTTAGGCGAGACCTCAAAATCACATTTTGAATCTAATCCCGTCAAATGCTTGCCAAGTCTGCTTAGGCGAGACATAGAAATCCCATCAAGAACCTAATCCCATCAAGTCTGCTCAGGCGAGATCTCGAAATAACATTAAGAATCTAATCACATCAAGTCTGCTTAGGCGAGACCTCAAAATCACATTTTGAATCTAATCCCGTCAAATACTTGCTAAGTCTGCTTAGGCGAGACCTAGAAATCCCATTAAGAACCTAATCCCATCAAGTCTGCTCAGGCGAGACCTTGAAATCACATTAAGAATCTAATCACATCAAGTCTGCTTAGGCGAGACCTCAAAATCACATTTTGAATCTAATCCCGTCAAATGCTTGCCAAGTCTGCTTAGGCGAGACGTAGAAATCCCATTAAGAACCTAATCCCATCAAGTCTGCTCAGGCGAGACCTTGAAATCACATTAAGAATCTAATCACATCAAGTCTGCTTAGGCGAGACCTCAAAATCACATTTTGAATCTAATCCCGTCAAATGCTTGCTAAGTCTGCTTAGGCGAGACCTAGAAATCCCATTAAGAACCTAATCCCATCAAGTCTGCTCAGGCGAGACCTCGAAATAATATTAAGAATCTAATCACATCAAGTCTTCTTAGGCGAGACCTCAAAATCACATTTTGAATCTAATCCCGTCAAATGCTTGCTAAGTCTGCTTAGGCGAGACCTAGAAATCCCATTAAGAACCTAATCCCATCAAGTCTGCTCAGGCGAGATCTCGAAATAACATTAAAAATCGAATCACATCAAGTCTGCTTAAGCGAGACCTCAAAATCACATTTTGAATCTAATCCCGTCAAATGCTTGCTAAGTCTGCTTAGGCGAGACCTAGAAATCCCATTAAGAACCTAATCCCATCAAGTCTGCTCAGGCGAGACCTTGAAATCACATTAAGAATCTAATCACATCAAGTCTGCTTAAGCGAGACCTCAAAATCACATTTTGAATCTAATCCCGTCAAATGCTTGCCAAGTCTGCTTAGGCGAGACATAGAAATCCCATTAAGAACCTAATCCCGTCAAGTCTACTCAGGCGAGACCTTGAAATCACATTAAAGGGCAACTCCACTCAATATTGGCTACTGAGAAAACAATGTAATTCTATTCAGTATAATCTAGAAAGGCTACAAGTCAAATATTGGAATTGAATTCCGTCTAAAAAAGTTGTACAAGCGCGAAAGTAACAATATTGGCTAACTATAGCGGGAACGTGCGGCGCAGCCAACACTGCACTTCCGCCGATCTGCTTCCGCCGCTTCCACCGTCAGTGACGTCTATAGCATGCGCAGGTGTTTTCTTCATTTTTTCGTTTCGAGGTACAGATCCCACAGGTGGCGCCACGTTCGCCGCCTCCGGCGGTCACTCTGCCCTCTGACTCTACCAACTATTGTGACTCCACCTACTCTACCTCGGAGGCGGTGTCCACGTGATCTGCGAGCGAACGCGGAGGCTCCGGTTGCGTCTTTGCCGTTGTGCTGGATGTGCCGTGCTCATCTTTCGTTGTTTCGTGTTTTATTTAGTCAAGAGGCGCGTAGATTTGTTCCTGGTGTGCCTTTGCAATGGCTGATAGAAAGCGCCAAGGGAGAGGCTCACGTTGTTGTGTCGCTGGCTGCCCGAACTACCAGCTAAACAGCCCAGGAGTCCTCGCTTCCACAGGTTTCCTGGCGACATTGAACGGCGGAAACTTGTCGCCTTGTCGCCAACTGCCCGGATATTGATTTGTTCCGATCACTTCTTGCCCGAATGCTACGAGCGAAATATGCGCGTGTTAGCTGACTGTGGCTTCTCAACGAAGTAGGCGAAACTGAAGCCGGACGCCGTGCCGTCGATCTTCGCACGCGGCACAGCTTCCCCGACAGCAGACGGCTCAACGGTGGCTCCATCATGTTCAGATCTCGACAGCCAGGAAATTGAGTGGCTAACGCGATTTTACGTCGGCAACATATGCCATCAAATATTACTCCAGCACATCGCTTTGGCATAAACAAGTGTTGAGCGATTGCTCATGCAACCAGAACACGTTTTCACTACGCGATCGCGGGCTTTCGAGATGTATCTTTCTCGCGGGGCAATCTTTCTCGCGGGGCGCACCACACAAGTTATTAGAACAACGAACAGAAGCCACACATGCTGACTACGTTGCAACAGTCCTTCCTCAGACCCGTTCGGGTTAGAAATACAGCTAATATGCACGTGCAAGCGCGTGCAGCGTGCACGAGAACGTAGCGTTGACAAGCTTGTGATTGCATCGGCTTCCCCGCATAAAATAAGATATGACGGCGGCTACAGGCCCAGCTTGCATCTACTACAATTGCGTACAAAATATACCTTGGCAAGAACTTACCTCATTGTGTGTTTCGGTTCACAACGGAAATGAAGCGGGAGCCGTCCTGTGCAGCCGATGCGATGCAGACGACGTGCGCCTGTCCGTGCGGAAGGCCACGTGACCCTTTGTATCCCACGTGGTGTGTGCATGCTCTCGACGTCGACTGTAGACGCTGACGATAGTGTTGCCCATCCTTGCCGAAGTTTCGGTTTCGTTTTGCGATTTTGCTTCTTTCAAGATTACTCGGAAATTAATTTACTTTTCGGGGAAAAGAGTATGCAGGGTCGTTTATGAGTACTTTGCAAGGTAACATCATCCACTAACTCCAAATTTTCAAAATTGAGCGGAGTTGCCCTTTAAGAATCTAATCACATCAAGTCTGCTTAGGCGAGACCTCAAAATCACATTTTGAACCTAATCCTGTCAAATGCTTGCCAAGTCTGCTTAGGCGAGACGTAGAAATCCCATTAAGAACCTAATCCCATCAAGTCTGCTCAGGCGAAACCTCGAAATAACATTAAGAATCTAATCATATCAAGTCTGCTTAGGCGAGACCTCAAAATCACATTTTGAATCTAATCACGTCACATGCTTGCCAAGTTTGCTTAGGCGAACCTCGAAATACCATTAAGAATCTAATCACGTCACGTGCCCCCATGAAACCTTCACATTTTGAATCTAATCATGTCACTTGCCCCAAGAAACCTTTAAAGTATCATCATCAACATCATCATCATTATTTACCATAAACATCATGCAAGAAAGGTGCATGGCACAGCTTTACGCTTTTTTGCAAAACAGTCTGCCTCACGCTGTCCCTCCATGTTCAATGTTGACATGAGAAGCACACGTGTGAACTAAAAACATTCTTGTTCACTGAAAACATTGTCCATTTTGAGAGTTGCGACATCCCTCCCATAAACATAAATAGATAAACCCATTTTTCCATCCCTCACATAAACATGGTTAAGGTCGTCTCGCTTCAGAGCTCTGCAAGTTTTTACGACAGTACGACCCTCGCAGTTAAAATCGGCATAGATTCTAGCGTAATTTGTACATTGCAATGTGCAAGATAAAGTGCAAATTCAGAAATAAAAATACACAGAAAGAACAAAGCATGTAAAGGACAAACACAGACACACACTCTTCTTTCAATGAGCAGCAAGCATTTATGAGATGCCCATGACACTACGACCTTGAACTCCAAAGAATTGAAGAAGAAAAAACAAGGAAATACTAAGAATTCAAAAATAAAGCCTAATTACTCTCAAGTTTTAAAGAATACCAAATTAAAATGTGTAGTAATCTCCTCTACACAGCGGTACGAAAGGAGAGGACGCTAACAGCACTCACATGATGTGGCCGGGCAGGAAGCCGCGGCCCCGCGCATTCGGGGCTTACGAAGAATGAGACAAAGACATGTTGCCTGCTGGGTGTCCCGTAGTTCTCTGACGTCGCTGACGGACGGCGGCTCTTTTTTTAACATATGTCACGTGACATCATAGATGCATAAACACACATAACAACAAGATAAGACAACCCGATAAACTCACCATCAAAGCATACTAAACAGAACACACGTTGCGCCATCTGGTGGCAAAATCACTTATCACAGATCACTACAAAATGGTAGCAAAAAAATTGCGGAAATTACCCCCAAAAGAGGGGGAAAAGAAAGAAGAAAAATAAAGGAAGGATATTAACCCCCAAGAAAGGAGGAAAAGGAAGAAGAAAAGGAAGGAAAAGAAGGCAAACATAGTAATTAATTGAAACAAGCTTTTTTCAGAAATAAGCCAAAGGTATTCGAAACTAATGAC